GGGGTGGGACTCAAATCTCATACCACCAAGCCTTAACATGAAAAGCCCAGAACAAGGGGATGGTGACCACTAGGCCATTAGGGCATTCTCTATTATGATAGGTTTTTAGTTAAGGAATTTAAGTTAATTATTATTACAGTAGGTTTAGTTAAGGGATTTGATTTGATTTTAATCAAGAATTTAAGAAAAATTAAAGTTTCAACAATAAAAATTATTGAGTATAGTGGTTTGATAAATACTTTAGTTAATTATTAGGTCTTTAGTTTAAGTCTTGTTAAGACATTTCAAAATTTAAAATATTATTTTCTTGTGTAACCATATGGACTGATTGATTTAACCAATTCAACTAGTCAAATCAAACCTAATGATCAAAATTGATCAAGTATTGGGTCCGTTCTTAAAACACTATTTAAAACATTATATCTACCTACCAACTTCATAAACAAGGCCAGAAAAAGCAGAGCAACCAGGGCCGCCAGTGAGCCAAAGCAGAAGAGGATCATCTTTGGGACTACCCTCCGACTCTATGAAATAGTAGAAAAGTTGGACCTCATCTTGCTCTCCCACACCAATGTACCTTATTTATATAGAACACATAAATTATCAAGTCAGCATGAGTAACACATAATGAATTGATGGAACAAAAACAGTAATTGAAGCTAACAAAAATGTAGCCACTAACCCAATTTCAAGGGTGAAGGGCAGATCACCGTTGAAACCAGGAAGATTTTTGATAATCCACTGAGAATTAGCAACATTGATGGAGAGAAAGATTAGTAAAAAAAGTAGGCAGAAAAATGTCATTCCGAGGTTGATAGTGCAATATCAGCAATGTTGGTATTGCCAATTATGGAAGAAGAAAGGATTTGTGTCATAAAAAAATTTTAATCCGCAAGTCAAAGGTGTTTTAAGATAAAATAATTAAGTTGGAAAGTTTAGTAAAGCTTGTCTTTCAATTCATCCGAAAGTCTTTCAATTCATCGCAAAGTCAAAATATAGAGTAGGTATATATTTATCAAAAAAAAGTTTTAGAAACCACACTTATATAAAATTTTAACTATTCATCTTTTTATTTTTAATAATTGAGATGATTAAAGTATACATTTAGACCTTTATCATATTAAGTTTGAAGTTTTTAGACCCCCACTTTATATTATAAAGTTTTTAACCTCTAAACTTAAAGATTTGAAGATTTTATCTCTTAAACTAACAGAATCTATTAACTCTTCATTAACATGAGAATAAAATATTTACATGATCAATCGTTAAAGATTAAAAAATGTAACAATTTAGTTCTAAAAGTTTAAAAATTAAAAAAATAGTAAATTAAAAATAATTAGTGGATGATTTTGCCACATATATGAGAATAGTATTAGATAGCTACAATCAAATCGAGCAATTAGCACAATCTAAAAAAAAAACTAAGATTAAAGAAAATTTCTTGACAAATTTCTTGACTAAATTAAGATAGAAAGTCCAAAAAACCAAAAGAATACAATTAATAATTTTTTTTAATTTCATTTAAAATTCTTTTTTTTTTAAACTAAACTAATTGCTCAATTTAATTACAAAAATCTAATGCCATTTTAGTATATGTGAGAAAATCAGCCTTTAATTCTTATTAATTTATTAATTTTTTTAATTTTTAAATTTTTGGAACTAAATTATTACATTTTTAATTTTTGAGGACTAATTTTATAAATATGTTATTCTTACTTTAATAGAGAGTTAACAGATTTTGTTAGTCTTAGGGACTAAAATTTTCAAACTTTTAAGTTTAAGACTAAAAACTTTATGATATAAAGTGAGAAGTTAAAAACTTCAAATTTAATAAGATAAGGGGCCAAATGCATATTTTAACTGATTGAAATTTATTCACATTTAGTAAAATAATTATTTTTATCTAAAAATTGTAATAAATATCTACTATTAAAAGTAAAAAAAATAAATAATTAATATTTTAAATAAGTGTAGTTTGTAAAACTTATGTATAAATAGATTTTCCTTTCAAAATATAAAATGTTATATGCCCTGAATGGCGGAACTTGTTTTATGTCATAGAGGGTAGCAGTTGTGGTTATAACCCACAATATTTCCTTAAGGTCATCTAAATTTTGTTTAATATAATTAATATTTGAATTTTTTTAAAAAATAATTAATTATGTTTTTAAAAAATATTAATTTATAAATTGATTTTAATTTATTATTTAATAAATAAAAATTATTTTATTAATTATTAATTATTTTTAATAATCAAATCAAATAAAATTAATATTTTTTAAATAAATTAATGTGCGAATCATTACTAGAATGAGAGGTAAAGCTCTTTAATTTTTTGAACAGAAAAATTGTCTATTTGGACCTAATTTAATTATTTACTGTTGTCTCCATAATAATTTTTTTTATTGATAGAAAAAACAAATTAAAAAAGGTACCTTGTTGGCCTACTTTCTCTTTAAATTCTAATCGAGACAGGTCCGTGTAAAAACACATCAACCTAACCACAGCAAGGGATGATAGATTTGCTGGAAGAGAGACTTACTCCTTACCTTATTTTTTCATTTATTTTTTATTTTTTGTACATGTGAAATTATTGACAAAAAGAGATATTTTTTAAATAATTGGTGGGAGTTGAATTTTCAACCAACTAAACGTAAATACTAAAATTTAAATACAAACTATTAGACTAGAAAAAGCCAATTCTACTCCTTACCTTAATAATTTAGCTGAAAGGGGAAATTTTTCATGATTGTCTAATATCAGTGATGGTTTTTGTTGGGTTCACGTGTAAAATGAATTAAACTTTTAATTTGATAAATAAATAATATGTTTTATAATTTATATTGCATTAGAATCATAAAATAAAAATTATTAGATGAGAGAAGGTTTTTAATATTAAGCTCAATCATTATCCAATGATTAATTTTATATCATCTATTACAATTTACACTATATAATATTTTTTTAAAATAAATTAATTTTATTATTAAAAATATAAAAAATATTCTAACCGTTACGTTTTTTATGATATTTATTTAACACGGGAAAGATTATATTTGGTTTGACTAAAATTATCAACCCATAGCTTTTTTTTTCCCTTAAACTTGAATCGAAGAATAGAGAGACTTATTTTCCACTAATCTTAGTAGTAGGGGTGGGCAATTTTCAGTCAACCAACCAAAAACTGAGGAACCAACCGACAGTTGGCGGGTATTTTATCGAATTTTCGGGTGTGGGTTTTTTGGGGTGGTTTCGAATTAAAAACCGAAGGGCAATCGGGCGGGCTTCGGTTTGCAAGCCCAAAAACCAAAACCCGATGAGAGCCTCCTGTTGACCCAAAAAACCGAGGCCCAAAAAAACTATTTTTCATTTTTTGGGCCCATTTTCTCATTGATGCCTTGATGGGACTAGCCACTGCCACTAGCAGTGACAGTGGCAAGGCAGTGGCAGTGGCTAGGTAGGAGACTTTTTGGGTTTGAGCGGGATAAATTCCCTCAAAAGGTTAAAAAAAAATATATTTATTTCCTATTATAACTTAAAATATCATTTTATTTCCCTCTATAACTTAAAATATCTTTTTATTTCCTTCTAAATCAATTTTTTTATTTATTTTATTTATTTTCTTAAAAAATTATGTAATCTAAATTAACCCTAACTATAAAAGGCTAAACCTAACTATGAATTTATTAATAATGTTTTATTGTTTTTTATGGGATTTGAAAAATTATTTGATATTTGCATTGTAATTTGGTTAAGTTATGAATTTTCTACCCTTTCACTTTAATTTCGGTGTCCACCTAAACCGAAAATAATAATACCGAAAAAATATGATACCGAACCGACACAACCGACATTAATTCGGTTTGGTAATCGGTTTTCATTTTTTTCAACCAAAAATTTGGTTAACCAATCATATAATCGGTTCGGTCACCAAACCGACCGATGCCCACCCCTACTTAGTAGAGGGGCAAGCATGCCACAAACGCACAAAGGAGAGTGGCTAATTTGCACCTTCAGCCTATATTTATTCCTCCACATCACAATCTTCTACATTAGAATACAAAATAATCATGCCATATTATCCCATGACATAGCCAGTAAAAAGGGCAAAATCCTTAATTAATCATACAACAGTTCAAGTGCATAAAACTTTTGACACTCTATAGAGGATAGTAATGGACCCATCTTTTAAACATTTCAAAACATTCTCGACGATAGTACTCTGGAGCCGTGTGACCTGCACCCTGCAAAATTAAAAAAACGAAGACACCCTTAATGAATCAAAAATGTATGAAGATTCATTAATTAATAGTTTTTTTTTTTTTTTGCTCACCTACTAAAGTTGTTAAACTAAGGAGAACTGAAAAACAATATTTTGATAAAGCAATAAGAAGTAAAATAAATGCAACTTTAAAAAGGAAAAATAGTTCACTTGCCTTTACTGTTGCATATGTCATCCAAAACAAATCGTTTTTTTCATATTGTAGGTTGTATCTGCAATTCAAAGAAGAAGAGAAGCATAATGGAATTGTTTGGCTAATCAAGATAACTAGAAGTTTTATCAAAGTTTTATAAGAGATTCACAGACCCGGCAACTTGACCGTCAACGAACCATGGCCTCCAATCAAAATTAATGGTCAAGTTTAGAGATTTTATCCATGTCTGCGTGCCGGTGAAGGGAACAACCATGTCACGATCACCACTGCCAACGACCAAAAAGAAAAATTAGAAAGTAATTTTAAGTATAGAAGAGTGATGCACAATCTTTATAGATAATTATTGACGAGGGTTGAGTCTTCTAATATTAAGGTGATTCTCTTTCCATTAATAGTTATAAAATTTATGTAGATAACCATTGTTAATGATGTGCAGTCCTTATAGATAATCATTGATGAGGGGTTGGTCACTTAATATTAATGTGGTCCTCCCTCCATCAATAGTTGTAAATTTATGTAGATAACAATTGTTGATGACATGCATGCAATCTTTATAGATAACCATTGATAAAGGGTGGGTCTCTTAATATTAACGTGGTCCTCCCGCCATTAATAATTATAAAATATACATAAATAACCATTGTTGAAGGACAAACTCTTTAATATAAAGGTTGTTTCCTCCCATTATTAATCATTATAAAATTTGCAATTTGCACAAGACAAATTACTAAACTGCTATCTCTTTTAGGTAACAATATAAAATAATTAAGCATGTATTTGTATCAGAGATAATTGATATAATTTAATTCGACTTACTGAAATGTTATCTAATTAATCCCAAAATATTTGTTTGATTCTTGGTGTCAAAGTGTTTACCTCTGTACCAAAACTAGTAAGCCAAAGTTGCTGAGATTACGGTGAACATCAATCACACTTTGTACATCTTTTGTGTATGATATTGTCAAGTTGCACCTCAGCCAGTAATCAACCGTTCCCTATTTCCAAAGAGAAAATATGATCAACGTAACTATTAAGATAAATTGAGATTGAGTTGACATGTATGAAATTAATAAGTTCTTAGATATGGTATGCGCACAAACCGGTCGGACATGCAATGCATCTCGAACTGCAACATCGTTCGCCCATATATATGCAAGGGTGTAATTAAAACCCTGCAAAAGGAATGTAATCACAAATTATGCCAATGCAATTTGCAAGTGCCCATAAAATTACTAATTGAGTTAAAAATTTAGATATCCATGCTATCTATTTGTGTATAGTGTTATGATCAAGATCCAAAAATATACCCGGCACCAGAAATCAGGAATTCTTAGTGGTGAAAGAATGAAATTGTCTTGATGTTGCTTAAGAAATCTTCGTGGAATATCTAGGTTCATTTTTGGGGAGGCGAAAACACAGTTAGGTTCAATAATTGAGTTTGTCCATATATCTGCGATGCACTGAAAATTCAAGGAAGAAGGAAGCGATTAGTATACTGTAAATTAATGCTGCCAAATGAGAAAATTTGAGGCATAGATTTTAATACAAAACTTACATTCAATTTAAAATCAATTAACAAAAAGTGAAATAAGTCTTTTTGTATTGAATTTATTCTTTTTTTTTTATATTAATTTTGATGTCAGATCTTAATTATCACTCAACACGGCATGAATGTAAGCATGTAACCATCAATTGGCCTTACCTTATCATATTCTGCGAGAGCAACTACACAATCTGCATTTGATGGATCAACATTCACATAGCTCCCATTGCAAGAAGTTTTGAGGCTTTCATTTAATTCATCTGATATAAGTGCCAAGCGATGAGCAAATTCGATCTTTGCGTTCGAATTCAGGACTTCATCTGTCGTCGGGCTTCCGATCAGATATCCCTGTTAAAATCATCTCAAAAATTAATATTCCTACGCAGATTAACCTAAAGTTCTTCAGATATGTACAAAAAAAAAAAAAAAAAAAAA